CAACTGGACAGCCTTGAACCGCCGCATAGCTCACTGAAGGTCGGCCGGGATGTCGAGTCCTGTAATCAGGGCTTCCTTAGCAGCGGGCCACTTCAACTCCTTCGAGCCCTTCGCGCCGCACCCAGCACCACCTGCGGCCTGCCTTTGAGAAGAGCTCGAAAAGAAGTCAACTTACCCCGAATCGACTGGATCCCCGAGAGCTCGGCCGGGTCCTCGAAATCCTCCAGGAAGATCCGTAAGTCACCTTGAAGACAGTCATCATCCAGACTGAGGAGCAGTCGTGTGGTTTGCATGCCGTCGTTTACTTCATTACACTTGATGATCCACAACTGTCCATTGTTGCCTTTCAGCAATCAGCTACCTACCAAGTAGTATATACACTCCACTGCAGTAGTAGTAACAATGTGATGAAATACGCATAATACACACTAAATACGTAAGCTGCTGATTGCCCAAAAACCAATTGTGGACAATCGCGGAGTGATAATGGACTAAAATACACCACAAGACTGCATGCAATAAGACGCAAAAGTGGTACTAACCACATGATGGCATCCGCGATCAGATTACGCCTGTCTTTATACGGACTGAATAACGCAGATGCCAACAAGCACTACTGCTTTGTTGCTTCTTTTTCTGGATTGTTCGAGAATGACCTATTTACCGGGCACGTCATCTGGATTGCAACAATAGTGGGAGCTCTAGTAGTAGTAGTAGTAATAGTAGTAGTAGTAGTAGTAGTGGTAGTAGTAGTAGTAGTAGTAGTAGTAGTAGTAGTAGAAGAAGAAGAAGAAGAAGAAGAAGAAGAAGAAGTAGGTACCTATCTGATGAACGGACTGTCCAAGAAATCAAGCTGGTGGGATCTGAACGAAACACTGATCCTGCGATGAACAAGAGTCAAAAAAGGAGCTCAACAAGTGATTCATGGATTGAACAAACGATTCAAGCGTCATTCAATGTTATCAGCCAAAGCAGAACCGATATGATATTCAGCGGGGTGAACACATGATGCATAGACAGGTCTCATCATATCCAGTCAGGCTAAAGTCGTAGGCTGATCCAGTGAAACGATATGGAGTTATAACGCACAATCCCAGAACTACTGGCGTACCAATGAGGAAAGAAAATCTGGTTGGTTGGAGATACACTGACAGAATACCACAACATCGGCGTATTAAAAAAAAGGGATGTAGGTGATGCAGTGGTCACGTCGCTGATAAGTGCGATGAGGAGAAACGAGGAGAGAACAGCACCCCGAAGAACGCCAATGAGAGAAGAAGTAGGACAGTCAGAAGACTAGCTTTTAAAGAAGTAGAGAACAGAATCAAAAGCGGAGCAACAGTCGAGGAAACTACAAAGCACGGGTTTCCGGGAACAGGTTAACTTGTTCGAAATGAAATGGCAAACTGAAGCAGCTGCATCCAGGCGGCATCAGTTGGATTTGGACGCAAATTGGTAGAGGCCCCTCGGGACAACAACAGAGGAACTCCGTCGACGTAGCATAGCGCGCTTGGTTAACGAGAGTGCACAAAGAGTGATGGCGATGGGAAGAAAACGTTCCGACAAAATGCTGAAAGTAAAGTGTTGAGGAATAGGTAAAAAGGTCACGGGTTTCCAGGAAGCAGGAATAGCACCAACATTAATAGATTCGCAATTGAGATTTATTGGTCAGGAAAGTCATAATTCCGGATAGTTGGGATGCTCCAAATTTGATAGCCTTGGAGGATAAGTCGTCTGGACCCACAGCAGAAGTTGATTCCGAGGTTCAAAGTTAGTGAAAGATTTCTTCTGATGGAAACAGCTATACGTCCGAGGAAAGAGAAGGGAAAACGGATGGTGAGGTAGCTGATGAAGGATGAATAAACACGACATTCACACTGTCCGCATCCTTATCGTACTTTTCACTCACCGAATCCCTTGTCCACATATAAGTCAAATTCTGTGCCACAGAGGTTTGCCATCCGTGGTACAGAACAACTAGTGCACAGATGTCATACTTCAACATCTACATCTCTTGATCGAGTATCATTTCACAGAAGCCTGATCGAGTGGTTTATGGGCATATCCTTTTTGCCTTCTCAGAGAATTCAGCAATGGAGAAGCTATTCTGTCGTTATCAGAAAATACAGTCTCCATAGGACAGCATAAATCAAATACCACACTCAGTGTCTTCATAAACAAGTTCGACGGGTAATGAGAATTAGCGAAAGAAAAGCATGGTGAAGCAACCGGAAGGGATCTTTCAATGAGGAAGATGTTGATGGGTGACCAGTTTCTCGAGGTGACCTTTATTTTGTTTTGTTTTGTTTTGACGAGTGATCAGTGTGTTGAAGGTGAATCAATTTTTAGTCTCACGGTACTGAGTGCGCGATCACTGATGGGAAGATGAAATTTCAGTTGTAAGTGAAAAAGTCCGAGTTTGTTGGTGATAATTCTGTTTAGAACAGCATTCCCCCTAGTTGGAATAAGTTGGAGATCAGTTCAACCGAAAGCAATTAAGGGAACGTAGGTGCATGATTGAAATCACTGGTAGCGATGCTTGGACGGTGAGATAGTGTTGGATTCCGAATGGGTATAAAAACGTTAAAGAACAGGTTGATGTCCCTGTGGGAACAAATGTGAGCTATGTATGCGTTACTGATCACAGTGCCTCAAAAATCAAGAATTTAGAATGAGATTTGACAACGACGCTGTCAGCACTGCTACAAGAGAAGATAAAATCTGCTTCAGATTTACCAAACCATTAGGAATTGATGTAATCAACCACACAACGACCACGAATCGTCCTCTTCTTGTACTGTTCTCTGTCTTCATGGATGCATTTGAAGTTCTTAAGGAGAACGAGTTAATCTTCGGTACCATTATCCAATCTAGTCTGTTGGATACGGGTCATACAAGTGTTCGTGTTGATCCCAGGATCTAGAATACTGGTTGGAAATAGCATCTTTTCAGAAAGAGACTGAATGTTAATACTGGCGAACGCGGGAACTGTCATCCTCTTTGGGTCGTTCGATTGACGGCAATCTACCAACCAAAGCACTTGTGTTTTATATAGAAGTTCAAATCAGCGAAACAATTGTTTTTCAGTAATTCATTCTCAAGCCATTTACAGACTACATGGTATCCGGAAGCTGTTTTCAAAGTTCTTTATGGTGTCCCCCAAAACAAATGCAAAGGTGTTCAGTTGCGCACTCTAGCGATAGCCGAGGCAATCGGAATAAGGAAGTTGACCCCTGACCTGTGCGCCCAAATGTGTTTCGTCCGGGGCAGTCCAACTCCCATGGTCCAAGACTGACCAAGGCCGCATGAATATAACGTCCAGCTACCTAGAGGGTGTCACCTAGATAAACCAATCACATGATAAGGATAACTTGACTGACAAACCCCTGCCCATGATTGGTGTTTATTCCATGTCTATGTTCATGATCTTTTGTCTAATGTCTACTATGTACTGTAAATGGCTTGAGAATGAATTACTGAAAACAACTGTTTCGCCGATTTGGACTTCTATATGATGCAATGAGTATTTTTCAGGCACTTGTGTTTCCCATTCCAACTTGGTCTCAACAGTTTGGACAAAATCGAGTTGTGGATGGTGAGACTAAACATATTTTGTTTCTAATCTGAGTGAATGATTGTTTTGAGAATCATTGTGAAATGAGACTGACGAAGTTCACAGCGAGACGTATCGCATTCAGTAATCGGGTGTGCCTATGCAGTTAGATTAACTGGTGTTGTGAAACACAACAGTGATCTAAATATTCCGCTTCTTAATGGCGTATTTAGGTTGCAGACAGCCGGACAGACGCCGGTATGGTGGTTTATCGTGAATAAGTTTAGCCCCGGGCTCGTCGAATAAATGGTCGTGGAAGAGCAGAGGCTGTACTCCAAAATGTTTTGGGTTTCCCGCCCGGCAAGAACTACTTCTCAAAACGCCACATATATCTGAATACAGTACTCTGCTGTGATGAATGCGGCTCTCCAATCGAAGTAGCCATTGGCCCTTGTTCTACTGCACACCCAGCACGATAAAATTCAGAGGAAGAACCTGTTTTGGTTGCTGGTTACGGATTAGCCCGAAACACCCCAACCGCCTTGCACGTCAAACCCGGTTGTGTAAAGGCCAGAGAAGCACCCTCGAACAAAAACATCAAAGTAGTCTCCGTCAATCATCCTTTTACTGGAGACTGTGTTCGAGTATCATAAAAGCCCAGAATGTCTCAAATAATTCACGTGGATTTCAATTCATTTGAGAATATTATTCACATTCCCCCACATGTTATTTCTTTGTTTACTTGTAGGGCTGGCAGCAAGCCTGACTCTATGCCCGCTGTATAGTGATGACATTTATGATAATATTAATCTTTGGCTCACAGTCCAACGTTTTTGCGGACGTCGTGTCCGGGCAAAGAACCACAGTGACTATAATGACATTCTGATTGCTGCGTTTATGCATAAGAATTGCCCAACACACAAGGACCGGAGTCTTTATTGAGACTTCTATCATTTTTTACCATTGAACGGTATACTCTAGATCGGAGACTATGCCATTCTATTCTACCTAACTGATTACTTTTCAGAAGGCTTTATTCGACTAACCAGTCAGCCACTTCATCCCGGACTAAAAAAAGTAAGTATTCTAAAAATGGGACAATTTCGTGTCATTTAAATATATAAACAGACAGGTATAAACTCTTTTTGGCTGTGAACGGATGACATTGATTTTTTCCACTTATTGACAATGCTGTGACATGTACCGGATAGACAATTATTTTGGAATGGATAATTCTTTCCCTTTAAAACAAACGGACGGCATTTCATTTTTAACGATACCCTCTAACCAGCCGTATCCACCTTCCAGAAATTCTGTGCAACAGCCTAGTGATTAATGAAAAGAACAAAATACGAAGATAAAAAATGAATTAGATAATCGCCCCCTTCCAAGGGCTCTGCTTACGTGTCGGTATGCGTGTGGCTGTACTGGTGGATATGCGATGCCTTCAAAGATGAGATATGATCTCTGAACTTATCGTGGACCTTGCACGACTCTTTACACTTATTGTCCATACTGATATAACTACTACTACTACTACTACTACTACTACTACTACTACTACTACTACTACTACTACTACTACTACTACTACTACTACTACTACTACTACTACTACTACTACTACTACTACTACTACTACTACTACTACTACTACTACTACTACTACTACTACTACTACTACTACTACTACTACTACTACTACTACTACCACTACTACCAGTACTACCAGAGGTATTTGCCGGAAGGCGTGCCCATTAATCGGGCCACTAGTTGGTCACTTTTTGTCCGGAATTCAGCAAAATTATTCAAATATAATTACAATGCTTATTTGCTTATTAGCTGTCTAATCTACTTGAAAGCAGTCGTAATCCGATCTTGGGGTACAATCACATATCTTCCCTTTCTTCATCTTATTGCTTCCAGTCCATGTGACCTAATTACTTCCATTATCACTCCATAGTTGTCCACATTTCATTTTTAGGCAACCAATAGCTTACTTATTCAGTGAGTAGTATGCACACTCCATCACTTTACTAGTATTACTACCCGACTAGTAGTAATAATAATATCAGGCTACTACCTTCTGCACTGATATTGCTGCCAATGCTAAAACCAAAAGTGAATACGGTCTGTGAATCCTGAACGCCGTGGTGTTCAACCGATACACCGAAAAGGCTTCCCTATTCACCACTTCGAGTGACTGGACTAGTCCCAGCTTTTCGTAAGAGCATGAAGTCTGCAGTATCTGTTTTGGTTTCACTTTGTTTTACTCGATCTTGGACCGTTTTGCACCCGTAAAAGGGTCCAGTGAACTATTACATATGATGTACTACTAAATTTTGATTGATTTTTAGATCAAGTGGAATGTTCGAGATGGTCATGCGGTTGTCAGTCCATATTACTACTACTCTATTTATTTCTTCTTATCACTTTTACTATACATCAATGTCCAACAATGCAGGAAAGGGGTAGCAGCCAATCAAGGGCTACCGAATGGAATAGTAACCGACTGTGGCGCGAGTAGAACCCAGGTCTTTGTTGTCCAAAGCCCACAGTGTTAGCCGTTTGACCACCGCCGGTCTATCTAGCGGTGGTATCATTTCGATGCCTCCGGTTTAAGCATACTACAAACAGTGCTTTTATACTAAGTGCACAGCAGCAAATTCAGATACAGATAATAAGAATTGCCTAATGTTTTGTAGTCGGTTAAAACGAAAGCATTTTAGCTGGAAAAGTTATTATCTCCGTAGCGACAGTTGCGAATGACTTCACCTTGACTGTACAAACACGATACTAACTGGGATAAATAGATCACCCGTTATCATTTCGTCATCCCGGTGCTCGAAACTGCAAACAGCTACAAAAAAAGTTCTACCAAGTGCAGACACTAGATTCCTGTTGCAATGGCGTACGGTTTTTCTATTTGAACTTGTGTCGTTCTAAGTGATCTTTCCAGTCTAATTTAATGAACGAGTTCAGATACGATTTCTTCGAAGCGTCAAAGGGCTAGAATCGATAGTACGAATGCGGTCGGTTTGGTAACAAGTATTCTTATCAAAGTTCTAAACTGTCTTCTTTCATTAATTAACGTATAACGTAAGGACCAGTCAGAATGCTATCACGTCACAGTATTGGTATGTTGCCCAATCGACTCAGAGAGGGAATCACGATACTACTTTAAAAAGACTTACATAAGTGAGCAGAATTATTTGGACGGATTAGCTAACTTTGCGTTGCTGACCAAATCAAGAAACGGGACGGGTTGTTCTCTCGTGCCATGGATCTGGTGAATCATTTAAATTCTTCCTACGGCAGATCATCATTTTCCCAACCTCACAGCATTCGTCATGCGGTGACCTCATCCATCTAGCCACAAATGGAATGAACCAAGGAGTACATTTGTCTGCCTCATTTTTCAGTTTTTCACAAGCAGTCGTATTTCACTTGCAAACTGTCAAAATCCGTAAATTTCATTCACGTATTTAACAACCTATTTAAGCCGGATTAATGACAGACTTTTTCTGGATGGACTTTTTCAATTGACTGAGACTGTATTTTTAAGCAGTGCTCAGATTGGGTCATCTGCCTTCGATCATTTACAAGGAAATAGCCCGAGCTCAGATCTGTGTAAATCCATGTATTCACAATGCATCCTTTCTGTATAAGCGCATTCTGTGACACCAATGATAAACAATGTGTTGACTGATCACCCTACTGTCCGGTCGAATTAGCGTGTTGTAACTCCCTCGTTCCGGAAAGGTTTGATTAGGTGATTTCAGTTCTAATGGATGAAAAGCGAGCAATAATGCACCACGCCACACACTGTGATGCGGCAATTGACACGTCATTTCTCTCTTTCGAGTACTCCGTCGGTGTTGTTCACTTAACGAGCAGATCATCGGATTGGAATCGTTGTGCTCTCGCGCGAACAAATACTTCGTTTGTCACCGGGCAATCAACAGAGCTGTCAAACAACAGTTTTTCGGGCTGATTTGTGCCTTTTGATGCGTTTCTGATGATAATTCCCCCCGGGCAAAATACTCATGAAGTCATTGTACCAACTAAAAGACGGTCAGTGTTTCTTCCAGTGTCTGACAGTATACTGTTTCTGCAGCATTCGGGAATTAGAAATCGCAAATGTTCGGGCAACTTTCATGCTCTAACATCTTTCCAATTCCAACTACGTGTACATCAGCCATCAGTACGGTACGTGTGATTCAAGCGAATGGGACCAGTGACGACCGAAAAATAATGTTCATTTATGAGGACTTGCAATAATTTCTTGCACTTCTCATTCCATTGTAGTATGTCGAATTACCGAAAGTTGATCAATGGTTGTGCTCCCGTGCGCGATTTGGGAAGAATCTGGAGTTGTATCGTAATCACCCTAGGGCAGACAGTGGTAACACGGTTATCCTGTCGAACCCCACACCTAGAGGTCATTTCCCCATTCGGAACTGTCTAACTGACTGCGACCCTCTTCCGGAAACGCTGTACCACTTACGCGTAAAAAATAAAAAGATAGTTAAAATACCATTATTTTGTTACGCTACAATTACTGCTATCACTATGGTCATCATTATTATTATCTCTTGCTCTCTTGGTCCTTTGATGGCTCACTTTAAGCTACCACCAACCAACAGTTTCTGAAGATGGAATCGATCGAAGGGGGTGGCTGATGCTGTACGAATAGAAACTGAATGAGTCATTACTCGCAAAGCTTTTAAACACAAAATGTATAAAGTGTCATCCAAAATTAAGAAACGAACTGAAAGTCTGAGCATTGATTAGCCCTGTGGCGTAAAATGTAGAGCGGTCATCCCATAAATGCTTTTGTCAGTAAGTATCACAGATACTCAGGAGGAAATCCGATTGAGCACTTTCTTCGGGTTGATGGCATCACAGCTCTCAGTTGCCACATTGGACTCAAGTTGCAACCCTCACTGCCATAGTACTGGTTTACACGTATGTTGATATTTCCTACCTTTAGTGTCTGTGGGGGGACTAGAGTCTTTTACACTCATTTTGGCGTAATTTACGCATGTGACCTTTTTCCCCGCTGGCGAGACTGATGGATTTTGCGGAACCGGCAGATGGATCGAAAACATAGGTTACCGTACACGCCACAGTTTTGATTCTTCTTTTTGTGTAATGACACTAAAACGGTTTCCGTTTTCTTGTGGCTGATCAGGAAAACGAGTTCGGGCTTTCAATCAGTTATTAACAAATTATCCGGGCTTAGCATCGCTAGCTTCATCGAACCGGTCACATTTAGTCCAGGGGTCAGACGGAGTATGATCTTGATATTTCTGTAGTTTTTAATCATCGAAATCGCCAATCAGACGGATACTCTCAGTTTACTCTCAAGCGCATGCTAATAATGACAGTTAGAACTGCTCGTGATTTATCCAAGGAGCCAAGAGAGGCCGCTTACCTCAATGATTGGTCTCAGCAGCTCCTTGGATAGAACACGCACTTCATTCCTCCCATTGCGAAAACCTTCATCGCGAAAGGTTCATAAAGGTATTAGTATATCTGTACAAATAGGAAAAGACTGTAACCTCACTTCACAATCGTAGAATCACTGATTGACACAACGATAGAATTTTCTCTTATAGTTAACGTACAATAAGTTCAGCTCAGTTCAAATAATCGATAACCACGTATTGGATGCGATCTCTCTGAGTTGGAACCCCACTCGGAAATTAATTCAATCAAGAGGATGAAACAAGCAGAAAGAGAAATAAAAATAGTGACATCAACTCAATAAGAAAAGCTTCTGAATACAAGAGAGCTCTTGGTTGCTACATCCAGTTAAATCCCCAGTATATCTAATAACCGAGTTTGCGTATCTCGTGGAACCCACTCAAGAAGCCTAACACGCCCTACGTGATCACTCACACAGATACAGCTTTTTATACCTACTGTGAAGTTCTGCTTGTTTCACTCCGTGATTTCTACGAGCGGCCTATGCATCGGACCTCTGCTCACTGTTTCTATAGCTCTAATTCGCAATGACGATCAAAAGACGACAGAAAAACAAGCCAAATGACCGTATTTCCACATGAATTAGCAACACGATGTTTAAAACGATAATGGAACATTATCGAACTCGAGCGTCCAGCCATGGTTAAAGCCTTGACGGGCTGGCTGTACGCTGACCAGTTTAAACTACTGATCATGGACTCGATTTTCACCAGACCGTATACAACTATTCGACAAGCCAAGGGAGTTAAGCCTTGGACGGTCTGATGGCATATCGATTATTGACTAATCGGCCCTGGCTCATCTTTGAATCACTTCCTGCCTCGGCGGAGAGAGCTTCCTGAGGAACCCCATCCGGGGACAAGCCCAAAGTGTGTCCCAACTGCCTTGGTCTAGTAACATTTAGTGTTTTATCCAAAGATTTGGTTTATGCATCTAAGACTGTACGCCGAACAGCAGCAATTCTGATACGGTGTTCCCACAGGATTCGAGCAACGCTACGACTGTATTGGTGTTCGGATACTGACAATCTTCGTGTATTCACCACTCGTAGTGGTCAAAATTCTGAACTATACAGAAGAACTGGCCTTTCATCTGCCGAAATGCCGCAGAAATTACCCGTAAACCACAGCTCTGCCTGCGTTCGACACTCACCAACGCAAGGAGTCACAAATCCGAAGACGCGAACGCGAAAGCAAGCACATTTATTGTGATCGGGATCGAACAAAAGTCCATAGTTTAAAG